TGAAGACACGGGGCAACAGGGACAGCCCGGAGGGCAGGACCTCGTACTGATATGCTCGTCCTTCGGACGCGAACCACAGCAATGGTCTGTGGTGCGGAAGGGTCGACACATGAAGTACGCGTCCTTCAGTTCGACCGCTGCAAACCAATCTCGGGGACAGATGCACAAGGCTTACCCGCAGTGGGGCAGCGCGGAAAAACACAGGGACCCGGCCCGGGCTCCTCGTAGCCGGTCCGAGGCAGGGTCTTGTGTGTGTAACACTGACCTGCGTTCGAGCAGAGGGTGCGTGGGTAGTCCGTTCGGTGGCAGGGGGGCCGCCCTCGGCGACGGCAGCAGCTGCACGCCGGGGCAGGATGTACCTGATGGCCTCAGTCTGCTTTGGTCAGCGGAGAACCACTGGGCAAGTTCTCCACCGTGTCGCCGAAAGGCCGGCCTGCGACACGGGGGCATTCAAGAATCGCGTCTTGTCCGTCTCGCGCATGTCCGGTAAAAAGCTCTTTTAGAGTGCTGAGGCGCACAGGGGAGATGATCATCTGCAACACAAACAGGGGGTAGTGCAGCCTGATGTGTGCAACCCACTCGACATGGGAAACCACCACCGCTGAAGCGCCGTCCGCCAACACGAAGAGCTCTCCAAGAGGGCGCTGAACTCGTTCAGTCTTCTTCTCTCAGTAGAGTAGTCAGGAGCAGAACGATGTGATCGCTCGGCTCCGAAGCGAAAAGCTGAATATGCGCTGTGATCAGCAGCAGCTGGATGCAATAATCGCATGCCAATGTGCATTGGCTCGTTTAGTTTACACTCGAAGTAGATTGGTCCCTCTAAGCGAGATCCCAATACGTCGGTCTTCCGACGTGACGTCGAGAGTGACCGACTGAAAGGGAACTACCAAATTTTCTTATAAGTTTGATCGCAACTTACAATCATTGTTGTTCATCGTGTTCATGTTTTTGTTTGAATATGTCATTGACTAACTGCATGATTTTGACTGTACATTTCTGCCTTGATGTAGTCACCGCTGATAAACTACTCCTAAATGTAATGTAGAAACTTTCGTTTTCTGTGAAAAATGCTATACAAATAAACGTGAATTGAATTGATTTATTTTTTTTGCGCAGTAAAGTGATATACAATAAATAATATAAAATAATCTATATTACTTGTTCTAGACAATTGTTGTTGTTGTGTTTACTCGACAGTGTTGTGGTGCTTTATATATTGAAATGTATATTTTAACTTATATTGAATTACTTTAAATAAGTTTTGTCTTTCGTAGGTGTGTCTAGAATTGCTCAAGAATGATACTATCTGCAGTAACCCTGAGCACCACAAAGGAGACGAGGAGGTTCAGGCTACAGCCTCCTACATCCTGCTTCTGTTTAACGCCACCCTCAGCTTGGTCTCCATCCCTCCCGCCATTATGCTGGGCTCCTGGTCTGACCGCGCTGGCCGTCGGTGGGTCATGGCACTCCCGTCTGTGTTGTCCCTGTTGAGTGGGGGGTTGCTCTTGGCTGTAGACTTGTTGGAAAACATCAGCGTTTACTGGACCCTGATGGCTGCTGCCCTAACAGGCCTGACAGGTGGCCATGTCACCATTTTCCTCAGCTCATTCAGCTACCTGGCCGACCTGACCATGGGCTCCAGCTCCAGTCGCACTTTACGTATGGCATTGGCCGAGTCCATGATCTTCGTTGGAGGCTCAGTGGGCTTCTTATTAGGTGGATTCTTGGAGCAAGAATTTGGACTCAAATCAGCATTCGGGGCCTACATTGGCTGCCACGTCCTGGTGGTGCTTTATATTGTGCTTTGGCTGAGAGACCCTACGACGAGCAAAAATACACGTATAGCTCCCTATGAAGAGGATACAGCTGAGCAAGGTTCTCATGCAGACAAGTCCCGGCTGTTTATCCTAAAGTACGCCAAGCTGTCTTTCAAAGCAGTGTTCAAGAGGAGGTCAGGGCAGGAAAGACTGAAATTGCACTTTCTCATTCTCTGCACCTTCATAAATAACCTGGTGGCTGTTGGTCAGTGAAAACTCACACATAAACTAACACAAACAAAGACATATACAGTATAGTACAGTGGAAAAAAATCACTAAAAAATTGCTAGTAAATTTCACAATTAATTACAAAGAACTAACGATGTAACGCATTGAATTTAAAACATGAAGAGTTTAAGTTAACGACCAAAATAGTGTTTTCTTGTAAAATTTACTCCAATATTATTTGTTTTATTTGCAACTTGTATATATTCAAGTGTGTCACAACTTTATGCAGCTGAATCTCAAGAAATCTGTCAAGAATGTGTCAAGATCACATTTAACCATAAAATAATATTTCAATCATGACAACTCTCGGAACATTTTAGCATGGTGATGGATATGACAATGTTAATGTATTTGGTCTTGGCGGAACATATCTGCTACGCTGCTGCTGAATTGCTGCTGCTGTTGGTTATTGTGGTAGTTGTAGATTATTGCTGCTGCTGCAAGCAAGTACAGAAACTTGCTACTGCCAATGCATATGGCAATACCGTGCCATGAGTATTTAAGACATACTGCTGCTGCACAAATAGCATATAAAATAACCCCGTAGCAGATCTATACAGGTGGAGCTGGGGAAGGTGGAGGGTTTCAGAGAACTTTGAAAGCACTCTTCAGGAATCTCAAGTGAATGCTAGCCATCCATATAAATGCAAGGCAGCAAGCTAATTAGCTGCATATGCAGCATGAACCAATCAGCTTGTGCCAAGTCGTTTAACTCTCTGAATATCATCAGTTACATTAACGAATGTGCCATCTAGAGTTTCATGACTGAACTATATATATATATTGTGTTATTACACTGTTGTCAGGAACATCACCCTCATCTCAAAATACTGTAAAAGTTCCTGTAATTTATAATAATTGTAATCATATTTAGTATTATGAAATAATTTAAAATTAAAACATTTAAATACTATTGGTTATATTAATAAAATATTTTAATTCAGCATACATTATATAATGAATAATGTTGATACTAAATTAAATGGTTAAATACAGTATACTATAAATACAAATACTACCATGATTGTACTTTTTTTCATCCAAATAAGTAGATAATAATATAATATCATGTTCTCAACAAAGTTACTGATGTAATTAGAATTCCATAAAATATTTTTTTATTTAATTAAAATTTATTTACTATTAAAACGTGTATTATTTTTAATTATTAATTATTTTTAATTATGTTAATTATTTTAATAATTGTATTTTAAAAAATAATATTAGAAATATTTTAAATCATCATGCATTACATTATAAATAATATTAATACATTAAATTATTTAATACAGAACAATAAATACTCAAAAATTCCATTGGAGATTTCACACTTTAAACCATGCAGACCTTAACACACTAACTTTTAGTAAGAGGAGTTTAAAATTAAATATGAAATAACACAGCGTAAACTTTGAGATGGCTGAAATGAATTATCAGTGCAGTTAATATGTGCCCCTTGGTCGAGTCGGCTGTTTATGATGATAATACTACTGAGCCACTGCAGGGAGGATTTAAAGCACTCAATCTGAGTACTGTCACTCCTGAGGCCAGAGAGAGCGAGAGATAGATAGAGAGAGAGAGAGAGAGAGAGAGAGAGAGAGAGAGAGAGAGAGAGAGAGAGAGAGAGAGAGAGAGAGAGAGAGAGAGAGAGAGAGAGAGAGAGAGAGAGGGACACACACACACACAGAGAGAGTGATGTCTGTATGTCTCTATCAATTTCCATAGATTCTTAAAATGAGATATTAGTGGTCCTAATATCGTCTTTAAATATAATTGTCATTATTTTTGTAGGTTCATAATTGTCATTATTTTTGTAGGTTCATAATTGTTCAATCATCTCGTTTGAATTACACTCTGTTTTGCTTTGAAACATTGATCTTTGAAAGTCATGGCAATAAAGAGCTGGAGAGAGAGGGGACATTAATAATAATGTGGTTTTATGTGCTTTTGTCTCTCCAGGGGATCAGTCCATCTTGCTGTTGTATTTGATGTATGAGCCTAGAGAGTTCACAACTGCCCTGTTTGGGGTATTTAACTCTGTGAGGATGCTCTTGTTGGTAAGTGGTCTTGTTTAATGCAGTAATGCTTTCTCTGATGACTCATGTCTCTCAGCTAACTCAGAGCAGAGATCAGTGGATGTCCTTGAAATGCCACTAAATCTTTCAATTTCAGGCTCGAACAGCAGTGGCCCTGCAGTACGGCCATTGACTGGACACAGCTGAGCACGATGCCCTTGATAACCAAACGTATATTATTTAATATTATTTATGAGTTTTTGCCTATAGTCAGAGAGGAAACGATAGGGTGAAGACAGGGGACTGACACAACTCTCAACAGACAGCTCACAAGAAGATACAGCATCAGTTAATTCAGCTTCATTCTGTCACACGGCCGGCTTTGCTCCATACGAGCTGCAGTAATATGGCACAAAGGGACATATACATCCATATGCTGTAAAACCAAAAATGTAGGTTATTGTGGACACTGTCAGCAATGTTCAGTCTTTATGACTCTAAATATAATATCTGCTAAAGGTCTCATATTAGCTAATTATTTTCACATGATGTCAGTGTAAAACACAATTATTTTATATATTTTTATTCTATTATTATTATTATTTTGCTTACTACTCTAAACTTAACTTTAAAAAAAGTTATTTTCTTTAAAACCTTTTCTTTAAAGGTCTTTAGTGATATTATTAGTTGGATACAGTAAAAAAATTGCTTTCTATATACACTTGTGGGTTTAGGTTTGGGGCTGTAACGGGGCTGACGAAACGTGAGACGTGTGGATCCATCTGCAAGCTTTTATTAAAGAGATGTGGTATAACAGGCAGGGTCGAACAATGGCAAACAGGTATATGGCGGGCAAAAACACAAGAATAGTCCTAGGGCTAGCGTAGGTCACCGATCGGCAGACAGAATCACAGGGGCGAGACGAGAGGGAAAAATCCAGGAAAACAGGCAAAGATCAGAAACCGCAAAAACAGGCAAGGCAAAACAAGGAAAACACGGCGACTCGGAAAGGGGTACAGGCTAAACAATACTCAGCAGAGAATGGCAATTTGAGTGGGTGTTATATAGTGAGTGAGGTGATAAGAAACAGCTGTGTGCAATGAGTGCAATCAGTGCAGTGTGCAAACCGTGCAATGAATGATGGGATATGTAGTCCGGGGTGCTATGCAACAGTTTGTGTTGTGCGAGAGTCAATGTAATTGAAAGGGTGACCTCTGGTGGTGAATAAACGGAAGTCCATGGACCGAATTCGTGACAGGGGCCAGTAAGGTTTGTTTGTTTGTTTATTTATTTATTTATTTGTTTGTTTGTTTGAAAAAATTAACACTTTTACTGAGAAAAATATGTTAAATTAATAAAAAAATGCAGTAAATGCTTTTACATTGCTGCAAGTGAATTCTATAAAAAAAAGAAAGAAAGAAAAAAGTATCATGGTTTCCACAAAAATATATACATTTTCAACATGATTTCTGAAAGATCATGTGGCCTTTAAGACTGCTGAAAAAGCTTCTGAAAATTCCGCTTTGCATTACAGGAATAAATTACATTTTAAAATATATAAAAATAAAAAAAATATTTTCAAATAGGCTTATCATAATATTTCACAATATTACTGTTTTTTTCTGTATTTTTAATCAACTAAATGCAGTCCTGGTAAGCATAGGAGACTTTGAAAAACACTGAAAAATCTTACTAACCCCAAACTTTTGAAACTTAGAGAAATTTCTAATAGACAACATGTAATGAATCATATAATATTGAAAAATATAGTGTGGGGTTTTTTGTTTGTTTTTTGTTTTTTGGGTGGGGTGGGGTGAGGAAAGAAAGTCAATTTTTTAAACTATGAGAATTATGACTTTTACTATTGATTACCCTTTCAAAAAAATCATAGTCTTGTTCCTTCACCGTGGCATTAGCAGAATAGCTTTGCAGTGTGAGTCTGTCTGTACAGCAGTAGTGATGGGAAACAGGTTGAAGTCTGCTTTGTTTTCGTCGTCTGTCATGGGGAACTCTCCCTCTGAGCAGGTTGATGCTGTGTCTTAGAGTGACACTTAAACAAAGCCTGCCAGTTAAGAAGCACCCTTCCTGATTGGAGAGGTGATGGTTCTCCATTTATATCAGGATACACCACTGGGGCTCCAATCGCTCGGCTGCCTTTTATGTGGAAGCCGAAGGCATCGATCCTGATAGAATCTATTATACAGTCTGTCTGTAGGGGATGTCAGCTAGCGGGCCGCCACCCAATACGCAGAGCGAAAACTTTTAATTAACCAAAATTGAAAGAGTCAATTGGGCAAAAAAAGCGAAAAAAGGACAGACAAAGAAACTTTTTTTGAAAACAAAAGCATCGTGGAGGGGAGCTGATCTTTTGCTTCTAAAGATCTGAAGCATTAAAATCTTGGCAGGTCTGGCTGCGGTGAGTGCATGACACCATGCTCGCAGTTTTTATAAATGGCTGCGGGGCTGGAATTGACTTGTAATTAGGGTGACGTGGAGTTGGTGAGGAATTATTAAACACTCCAGGCTCTAATGAGTTGATGAAAGTAAAAACACGGAGCGCTGACCTTTTCCGTGGAATGTTTATGCATTCCCATTATGTTTTCTGCTGCGAATCAGAGGCTGTGGCAAAGTCTGTTGACACCGGGCTCTCGCTGTGCAGTGGGGGTGGGGGTAATTAAATCAGAACTGTTTGCATGAGCAGGCAGGGCAAATGAGTCACGGCATGCACCTCTCACGCGTGTTCACAAGCAAATATGGATGAAGGTGAGTTATTTTTCAAGTGCTCTCAGAAGTTCTGAGTGAAACAGTCTTACTGTTTTTGACACTGTTTCATCAGGCACAAACCCTGAAGGTTAATGAATGCACTGGTTAGGTTTAGATGCGTCTGAGAGAATCTAAATATGTATTGGCTTTGTTTCCATACAAGCTGAACCACAGAACTGTGTAGTGCTTGTGTATTCTAGTGCTGTGCTTTTTTATTTCCAAGATTACACAGCTGTTATATTACATTATTCAACATCAGCATCATTTTAAGCATTTTGAATTATACATGTATCTTAGTACTAATCAAATGATTGGATTTATGGATGATAAAATGCATAAAAAATCCCATAAATTTACACTGTAGGGGGGAGCTGAGACAAATCTCTCTTGGGCAACCACATAGCAAATACCCTAGCAACCACCTAGCAATGCTAAAAACACTCTGCACACTATAGCAAGCGCATAGCGACGTTATGGCAATGACATACAACACCCTAGCATTGTAGCAGCGAGTTTCGTACTACTCACCACAACACTATATTTTAAAATGTAAAAACAACTACATGCTGTATTATGTATACCAAGGCCAGTAGTTGGCGATGTCACTTTGTAAAGAAACATTACGCACCTGAGCACATATGCATTCTTATAGACTTAACACGTAATAAGCATATGCATGACAGCACTGTTTTCAGCACTGTGTTTGCTGTTTACATGAAGACGATAACAGCATCGTTTTCAAAAATTTGCACTTTGAAACCCGTTTTTCAAAGGTTAGCATTTTCAGGCCCCCAAAACGCCATTGTCCTGTAAATGAATGGCCAAAAATGCCTAAACGCATAAAAAAGTTTTCCGTTGAAAACGGTGTTGTGTAAATACCCCCTAAATATGGTGAATGTAGTCACACCTTACAGCTAAATTAACCAATCAAATTTTTGATGGACAAATGAAATTCCCACCTTAAAAGAGCCAATCGCATTTTTCACAGAGGAATGAAAATCTCACGGTTGTTCTGCAAATTTCCACCACGGAAATCCAGTCAATAGTAATCCACGTGACCGGGAATTTCACATGAGGGCAGAATATTTTCCTACGCAAATTTCACATCTGGTTCAGGTTGGTCATGCTTGGTTTGATATGGGTTTTATGCAGCGTGTTTTCGATTTTTTTCAGCATTTTAGCATTATTTTAACAATTTTAGATGATCATATATCTTAAAATGAAATCAATTAGAATAACTAACAATGGAACCATAGCAGATTACATATAATAATGGATCCCTTTTGTTCCAGTTCACTCTTTTTCGCTCTTTTCAAGGCACTTAAATACAATAGTTATAATGGACTGAACTTCAACCAAATGATGGCAGTTGTTTTCATCTTGGCACAGGTTTCCAGCTCTAAACTGCTGTGCTGCTCTTTGGCAGGGCTTTGGTCTGCTGGGTCTGTTTCCTGTGCTGATGAGGTGTATGAAGGATATGACATTAGCAAAACTCAGCGCTTTGTTCAGAATCGCCTCTTATGTCCTACTCGCCCTCTCAAACAACACATGGATGGTCTTCCTCGGTAAGCCCCCATCTCTCTGTTACTTATGATTTAATAAATGATGTATTGACATAATGAAGCTCCTCGCAAAGTTATTGTGCATGAAGAATGATCAAGAAAATCATTATGTCAAGTTAATGATGCGGTAGGGTCAATGATGTGATTTGTTTTGTTCAGACCTATTAATTTATTCAAAAACTCATAAAAAAAATGCAATTCATACATACAGTGACTTGAATACACATTCTATGGTAAGGTATTGTTGATTTCTGAATTTTGATCAAAAGTCATTCTTTCTCGGTGGCATAAAGTAAAAGAAATCATGTTCTGAAGAAAACAAAACCTCAATGAAAAGATTTACGAAGAAAGTGATGCAACTTAATACTGTAATATAATTATTTTAAATTGTATCATTACCACCCAAAGTAATAAAAAATAATACCTTTCATTGAGCACAGATGCAAAAAAAAAAGAAAAAAAAGGTAAATACATTTATACTGTCCAAAATAATTTTATTTTCAAATAATTATTGTTCTGAACTTTCTATTCATCAAAGAATCCTGGAAAAGTATCATGGTTTCCATAAAAATATTACACAGCATGGCTGTTTTCCTTGATACAAATAAGAAATGTTTCCTGAACATCAAATCAGCATATTAGAATGATTTCTGAAGAATCATGTGACTGAAGATTGCAGTAATGGCTTTTAAAATATATTAAAATAGAAAACAATTATTTTAAATTGTGCTAATATTTTACAATAGTACCTTATTTTATATTTTACTGTATTTTTGAGCCATGGTGCGCATGAGAGACTTTCAACAATCAAACTTCTTTTTAACTGTAATGTACTGTATATCATATATATGAATCTGAAATTTTTTGACAACTATATCACAGTTTTTTTAAAGATGTTTTTATATATATAATATATATATCCACACAGTACCGTGGAAAGGTTTTACTCTTTAAGATAGTTAGAAAGCACAACTGACCCTATTTAGAATCTATCAGTGAACATATCAAAGCACATCTCTCTTCCCTAAAACAATGTAGATTTCTTTTGTCAGCATGTGACATGCACAAAGCAAATGTTTCCCACTCGAGGCTGACAATCTTCACTTGAGCTGACTGTTTTAACAAGACAGTCAAATGGGTAAATGTTTTGGGAAAAAAAGTCTACCTGACCAGACTTTTTATGGTTCACATTCATTCCTCACTGCTGTCTGAACTCCTTGCCTTGTTCCAGGGGGGCTCCACCTCCAAAGAGGAGTTCTCAGAGTGCTAAGTAATGATAACATTGTGTTGGCATTCATAGACAGTCACTCTCAGGGAGAGACAGCCGATCGGCGTTAATACTTTTAATTAAATAAATGGTTGTGGAAATTGTTATTCTAATCGATGTGGAGGATGAAAGCCTTTTAAAGGGAGATGAGTGGCGGCTCTGATGAATAATCAGTGCCAGGGAGGGTGGAATTTGCATGCTGGTCTTTTCTGTTGTCTGGGATAATGAGGGGCACAGCAGTGGCACACGAGTAATAACCTCCATTCTGAAAGTACAGTGCATGTGTGAATCGGTACACACACACAGACACGTGCGCACACAGATACACCCCACCACATACGCATCAACGCAAATATAGAAAATCTTTTGTTCTCTTGAGGATCAGCTTTTCTTGAACATGCATGATCAGGCTGATGCGACGAGCGAGTGACTTTACATTCTGAACCATTAGGAAAAGCCTATGCTCTGTAATCACAATTACCTCACAGAATTCCATACATTTAGATTAAGCTCATGAATTATTGAGTAACCCATTTAGAATCTCTTATACTTCAGAACTGGTTAGCATTCCTCTGGTCTCACCACAGAGATTAGTTAACTGTGGCTTTATGTTTAACGTTAAGCAATGTTTCGTAAGCTGTGTTTAATATAGTGCACGCAGGTCTATATGTGACCCTGGACCACAAAACCAGTCATAAGGGTACATTTTTCGAAAAGGTTGTGGCTGTTGCCATATCTAACATGAAATAGTTCTATCAAAACAGGACTCTCCAGGTAATGTTATCCGCATACCTTATTTTACTCATAAATTGAAAACTATTGCTCTAAAAGCCCATTAGACATTCCAGAGAGAAGCCATGGCTCAAAAATGCTAATTCTCTTCTGGGTATTAGGGCTACAATCGGAACATCTGAAAATCTGGAATCTGAGGGTGCAAAATATTGAGAAAATGGCCTTTAAAGTTGTCCAAATGAAGTTCTTAGCAATGCATATTGCTAATCAAAAATTCAGTTTTAATATATTTACAGTAGGAAATGTACAAAATATCTGGTAACACTTTATTTCGATAGTCCACTTTATACATTCTACTAACAGTAAGTAACTTTGCAACTACATGTCAACTAGCAGTTAGTAGAGTATTAGTAGACTGTCTGCTTAATATCTTCTAACTCTTTCTTTGTCAACTTATTCTACTAACCCTAAACCTACCCTAACAGTCTACTCTGAGAGTTAGTAGACATGTAGATGCAAATTAATGAGAATTAGTTGACATGTAGTTGACATGTAGTTACAAAGTTACTTATAGTTAATAGAATGTCTAAAGTGGACTATCGAAATAAAGTGTAACCAAATATCTTCATGGAACATAATCTTTACTTAATATACTAATGATTTTTGGCATAAAGTAAAAATCAATAATTTTGACCCATACATGTATTTTTGGCTATTGCTACAAATATACCCCAGCGACTTAAGACTGGTTTTGTGGTCCAGGGTCACATATAGTAATATATTATAATTGTTTACTGTTACTCTTAGCAGTTTTCTGGTATTTAACTGGTATTTAAGTTTGTGTGGTCTGTCCTGTGGTTTTATAGTTGCTGTAGTCGGCGCTCCATCTGGTATCAGCCAAGCAGTGATTCGTTCTTTGTCTTCTGCCATCGTGGGACATGATGAACAAGGTATTGTGTTTGAAATTCACAATCCAGTGAGAGAAAGAGAGAGACGCCACAAACAAGGAAGTACTAAAATTATGAACTGCCATGGTTTTGAACCCAGTAGGATGGTAAAATCATGGTTACTGCAGTTTTACAATAGTAACACCATGGTCAATATAGTGTTAGCATGGTCAAATCCTGTTTTTATGTAGAAATACTGTGGTAAAATTATGGCTTTTGGATAGAAATAATAGTAAAATCATGGTTTTTGGATGGTCCTTTTCGGAATTATCTTGAGAAAAATATCCATGGTAGTTATAGTAAAACCAAAATAACCACACATTTACAATTGTGTTGCTTCATTTACCATATTTTAACTGTGATATTTGTAGTAAAACTATAGTAATAAAAATAATAAATCTGAAAAAACAAAAAACATGGTTTTAGTATAGGGTACCATGGCAATAGCACATGTTCGTGGACATAGTAGGTTCGTGAGTAGCATAGCAAAATCTTATATATATATATAAATATATATAAAGCTCCCCAAAAAAGCTTCCAAACGAAGCAGGTTTACCAAACAAGTTTAATTTTCATAAGGAAAATGCCATGGTAATACTGATTTATTAATTTATTAATTTTGCTATGGTTTCATGGTTTTTCATTTATTTGTTTGTTTGTATGTATGTACTGTATGTATGTATGTATGCATGCATGTTTGTAGGTAGGCATTTATTATTTTATTTGCATAAATACCATGATACTAATGTGGTTTCTGTGTAGATACCATGCATGGTAATACCTTGTTTTTGCATATGTACCATAATAAGTAAAAGCATCTATATTTGTATTGTTGCTTTGAAACTATATGATAAGACTGCACAAATGAATTAAATTGTACTGAATCACATAGGGAATACCATGAATATACAGTAGTAATCATTCAGTACCATGGTATTATCGTTTGAAACCATCCCTGTGTGTTTTTTATTAGGGCGTATTGCATTGTGTAACGTGTACATCACAGCATTGCTTTCTTCTCCCTGTTTGATCTACAAGCCCACAAATGAGCTGAAATATCCTGAGGAAACTGCAAAGTGTTTTGACCTTCATATGACAAATAGATTTGAGTCATGCTTTTCTTCTAAATCTTTACTTTCTTTGACATTTGTTTCTGCCTGATAACATAGCTAAAAGCCCAAGATTTAATCTCCATTGTCCTTTCACAAATCCTTAATGAGAGGCGTCGCAGTATGCATAATTAACCGGGGAACTGAACACCTGCTTTCTCAAAAAATAAATAAATAAATAAATAAATCATAGAATTATCAAACTCGGCTAAGTGGAAAACAATGCAGGAAGAACAGAGAGACAACAAACAACCTCTTGAATACACTTTTATAGTCAAATACCCACCCCTGCTTGTTTCCACTCACAGAGCGTGCAGCTGTAAGCCAAACCGAAAGGAAATATCCATTTAGTTTGTGGACACAAACATTTTTCTTCCCATTACTTTTATTTATTTTCCTGTTGATGCAAGTGATACAACTGTGAAAAGACATAGTGATGACAGGCCATTCCCATCCATAAATGCACTGTTTTCACCATGCAAGCCGCCTCTCTCTACTTTGACAGCCGTTTCCCCGGCTTATGCCTCAGATCGCATGTGTCACTGACTCTATTGCAGTTTCCAGTCATTCCGGGGCACTCACATGACTTCCAGCTCCGGTGAAGATCAATAAGTATTGCATGTTCCAGGCACTTACGGGCTGCCTCGATGCACCGCGACTTCTTCTGCTCTAGTTAGTCAAAGCAGTCATGAAGTTCAGCGTAGCTCAGGAAGATATTTTATCAAAGTGGATCAAACCATTATTCATGCCAACGATCTCCTGCACAGACCTCAGTTTCCACGGCTATTATTCTTTCATTCAGATAAAATCATAGGTTATGAATTTCAGGTGCATTCACGGCATATTAATGAAACGGCACTAGCTTTATTCACAATGTTTGAAATGCCTCTATCAGAAACACGTTTTCAATTTAGGGGTAATTGTTGGGCTCCAGTAATATTGAAATAATTTTTATGTATGTTTGTTTGTATGTATGTTTGTTTTAAATAAAATAAACACACACAAACACACACACACACACACACACACACACACATGTTGCGTTTTCATGTTTTATGGGGACATTCCATAGGCGTAATGGTTTTTATACTGTACAAACTGTATGTGCTATTGCCCTACACCAACCCTACCCCTAAACCTACCCCTTACAGGAAACTTTGTGCATTTTTACTTTCTCAAAAAAACTAATTCTGTATGATTTATAAGCTTGTTGCCTCATGGGGACCTCAAAAATGTCCTTGTGGGGACATTTGGTCCCCATAACGTGATAAATACCAGGCACACACACACACACACACACACACACACACACACACACACACCTTTTCACCATTAATAGCTCTTTATTATTTCCCATGGACCCATTTCACATTTCTGGGGCTCTCAGAAAAAACAAACAAACAAACAAAAAAACACTTAGCGTTTTTATGACTTTGAAAAAACATTGGTAGATTGATTTGTTGGTCAGAAAAGAGAAATAAGTCACATTCACACAGTGACTAGTTTCTGTAACTTAATGCCAGTGTAATATAACACATAGTGTTATCAATGTACATTTATTATTATTATTATTATTTAAAATAAATGTTAAAAACCTGTTAGATTTACAATGTTAATACCTATGGAAACACATCATCACAGTTCATTGCCCAATGAAACCTCCCATATTGATAAAGTGTACAGCTTGAAGGCAAAATAGGTTTATTTGGTTAAAGCTGTCTGTCAAATGTATCAGTGTTATATATGGACACAATTTATGCAAAACAGAAGTTTGATCTGAATTTTAATAATACTTTGTGTTCCATAAACTAAATTAATGAGTACCACTGAATACAACACATGCAGTATTCATTTGTGTGTGCAGAACAAAACTGGAGGAAAAAAAACAAAAAATGTTTTCAATCATTATAATGCCGATATAAATGTTTATATGATGAATTTGATGAACCACGATAATAAAAAAAATCTTTATAATGTAAAAATACAACATTAATTCACTAAAATTGACTTCCCACAAGCCAGCCAAGCCTGGTTCAATTGTTTTTTCTCTAGATGTCTGTTTCCCGTCTTTATTGACTTGCATGTTGATGTCCTCAGGTGCCATGTTCTCCTTCTCGGCCTCAGTAGAAGCGACCTGTATCCTTATTGCTGCTATGATCTTTAACGGGCTGTACCCCCTGACCCTGCCAACCTTCTCCGGGATGCCCTTCATCATCATGGCAGTCTTCACACTCATCGTGCTCATTCTCTTGCAGTAAGTGAATCATTCTTTTATATGGAAACTGAATATAGTGAATGCAACACAACTTCTTTGTGATGTTTATGCCTACCAAGGCTGCATTTATTTCATCAAATAATACAATAAAAACAGTAATATTGTGAAATAGTATTGCAATTTCTAATATCTGTTTTCTATTTGAATATATTTCACATTGTAATTTATTCCTGTAATGGCAAAGATGAATTTTCAGAAACAATTACTCCAGTCCTCAGTGTCATTTCTTATTATTATCAATGTTGAAAACAGATGTGCTGCTTAATATTTTTGTGGAGAGCATGACACTTTTTTTTCTTTGAGGAAAAGAAAGAAATTACAAAATAGAAACAAATTCTTACCCCAGATTTTGTATTGAATGTTGAAAATATTTAATATTGAATGCGTGCAACTTGCTAATTTTTCTTGAACAAAAAAGGTTGTGGCTGTTGCCATATCTAACATGAAATAGTTCTAAACTGCATAACGGTTTCAGAATAATGAGGTGTGACTAGTGTAATTTATGTTGTAAAACAAAACAGGACTCTTCAAACTGAACACCTCTATTCAATTTATTTGTATAGAGCTTTTCACAATACTTATTGTTCAAAAAGCAGCTTTACAAAAAATAGTCCTTAAACCCCCAGTGAGCAAGCCAACTCAACATTGGCAAGCAAAAACTCCCTAAGATATTTAAATAGATGAGGAAGAACCTTTGGAAGGAACCAAGACACAGTTGGGGAAGTTCACCTCCTCAGGCTGGCACATAATAAAAAAACAAACATAAATGTGTACATATATGCATGTTTTCATTTGAGCAGCTAATTATATTCATTATTGGCTAATAATTTTTTCAATTAAATGTCATGATCAGTGTTCTATTTTTCTCTTCCACAATTCACAATAGTGCTTTAGATATACAGTGTGATTGTTGGCATGGCAACTCTTTTTGTCAAATGGGGTTACAGTTATTATCTAATTTTAATGTTAATTGCTTGCTTTGTAACTGGGATAATTGCATTAAATATTCGTTCTGAGGTAATACCAAATAGTTTAACTGGAAATATAGAAAACTAATGTTTTTTTTAAAAGGTGGTTACTAACATACTCACATAAACAGACTGAACTGCGTTGTCTTTCAAAAATATTTGAGTTACCTTCATACCCACTGAGGGTTGTCATGTGGAGGCATCCAGGTACATTGTCCCAGGCCTTGTGATGAAGATGGGCCATTATGATCCTCTATGGTTTATTTTTTCTCGAAATAGCGTTTTGCTTCGAGATCCAGATTTTTTCACTGGAAATCAGTTGTCGAATCAACATGGTAGCATTAGCGTACAAAATAATTGTATTTTCCAGGTAACTAATGTGATCTTTTAATGCAAAGCTCTTGTCAATGCTGAATGCTTCTTACAAACCACATATATAACAGGTCTAAAATGTGTTTTACTTTGAAGTATGTCTGCATCTCCATTGGTTTTGATTTTTATATTTGGAGAAGATGAGCATGACAAATTGTGTGCTAATAGCATAACATAAGTACTTACATTTGTCATGTGGAGAAATACAGAGGATGGCAAATTAGATATTGATCCATCTCTTGTGTATTCTTCAGCATTTACTGAGAGAGGGATCTTAATACATTTCTTCTCTTCTCCACATGTACCTGTGATGTGAGCACTCTAAACACGTCTAAACTCAATCTAGGCACTAAGGTCTAGTTTCAAATAGTAGATTAATGTTTTCAAAAATGTTCTTTAAAGTTCTTTAAGAGTTCTTTAAAGGTCAGTCATTATCATTTGGTGACATCAGTACTGTAGTAATAACACACTTCACTTTTAAGGGAGGTCGGTGTGGCTACACTGGGGTTTGTGCTGGTTTAATGGCCTCAGACTGTGGAATTAATGTTTGTTTGTTAATCAGATATGTTATCCTAACAGAAAAGAGCACTGTTTTACAATAATGTGCATTGCAATAATGGGATGGTGGAGATGGCTTTTGATAAATGCTATGTATATAATGGTCTTCCCATTTGCTATTAAATGGAGAGATGTGCAACTTCTACCAAAACACATTATTATGTCTGACTCAACCTGCCTACATTATGTGACATTAGAGCATGGTGCTAGCAACACCAAGGTCATGGGCCCAATTTCCAGGGAATGCATGAATCGATACAGTTTATACCTTTAATGCAAATATGAGTTACTTTGGATGTAAATATCAGCAAAATGTATGAATGTAATTGTTACGTCAACATGTATGTTGTTAAGTCAATAGTATCCAGTATTGTTTAAACTTTCAGAATATCTTCTAATGTGTTTCCAAAATAAAGGTTTGCAATGACACAAGGCTGTGTATATTACCAGTCAAAAGGTTTGGGGTCAGTATTTATTTATTTGAAAATAATTAATACTTTCAGCAAGGATGCATTCAACTGACAGTGAATGTAAATATTTCTATTTCAAACAAATGCTGTTCCTTTGAACTTTCTATTCATCAAGGAGTCTTAAAATCGTATCATGTTTTCTACAAAAATATTAAGGAGCACAACCGGTTTCAACATTGATAAAAATATGAAATGTTTCTCGAGCACCAAATCAGCATATTACAATGATTTCTGAAGGATCATGTGACACTTAAGACTGAAGTAATCGCTGCTGAAAATTCTAGCATCTTTTTTTTACCATCATGAACTGCCTTTTTTATTGCTTTGTACTGTTCTCTCAGGTCCACTTATAATGTTATCAAGATTTTTACATGAACAAAAACAAACAAACAATATTTTAGCAGTAATAGGCTATTTTCTGTCCTGTTCTGACCCCCTCTCATCAGAATGCTCTGTTTGAATAGTCGTGGCGGATTGTAGACTCAGAAGTAAACGCGCTCCGCTATGATTGGCTAACAGCTGTGTATGTTTGACAGCTACATCCTTCACAGATAGACGCTGCTGTGATTTAGGTTAAAAACGCATAAATACTCAGTTTATATCAAACGATCTGTAATAACATTAACGTATAATAACGTAATGAAAACAGTTACTCACACTAGTGTAGTGCGACATTACTGTCGGATCCAATATAGTCGCACAGAATCATCTTTTAATTTCAGTCTTTCAGAAAATCTGGCGTCGAATTGTGCCTTGTTTGTAAACGAATCTGCGGTGAAAAAAGTGAACAAACGACCAACCTTTTACTGACGCGGTCTGGAACTTCATTAAAAATAAAGCTAATTCACTCTTTCCTGATGTTGGGATCCGATGCAAGGTTATGCAAAGCACTGCACAGCGTCTTGTTATCTTTGGAGCATCTTTATTATTTGGTTTCTGTGTAGACCTGTGTTCGTCTCTTTCGTTATTTATACTAAGTGGATGGATCGGTGGGTGGGGCTAAACAGGCAGTGATGTAGAAGCAGGCGTTGATCTTCTTCTGCGGAAGCGGGGTTTACCCACAAACACATTCCACAAGCTGTCGTTTTGGCAGATTGGCTTCAATATAAGCTGTTTTAAGACTAATGAGAAAGTTTTGAGTTCTGAAACTTACAGGATGTTTTTATAGTATGATGACCTCTTCCCAGCAGGCACACAATGTCATAAGATGTTGCAACATCGGGTGACCAAAATTCAATGTTAAGTCAATGTTAAATTGAACTAACTAAATAAATAAATAAACTAAACTAAACTAAAATAAAATAAAACAAATGGTATGGGAAGGTGACATATTCATCCAGTTTCATCCAAAACCAAAACTATTCTATTGAAATTTGAGATTTAACAGTCTGAATCTAGGAAGTCTGCTCAAGTATCTTTAGTTCATTGATAAAAAAAAATAAATAAATAAAAAAACCTGCTATGTGCAATCACAGTAATAGCCCTTTCAAGGGGTTCCCTGAAAAGCTTTGATCTAACTGACACATTTGTCAGGTTGGCCATAAACAGCTCTACTGCCTCCATTATCAGCCTTCAAATTGATTCTGACGTGCATTTGATGTTCTTCCTCAGACTATATAATTAAGTGATTGTCTTAGGTAATGAAGGCATTAAGTAATGTACACCTGCAATAAAGCCTGTGTGTGGTGGCTAGTGAAGTGTAGCATGGTTATCACACCCAGGCTGTAATTATACCACTAATGGGCTGTTCCCGGAGGCAGAGCCCGCTAAGGGTTGCGCAGTCTCCTCTGCGTCCTGACTCGAGCAGTGCACTATTAAACCTGTGCAATTCAGAGAAAGACATACTGTTCTTAATCCATACTTAATCCATTATCCTGCAAGGAAATGATATGTGTCAAATCAGAAATTGCAGGTTGTCTCATGAAAACTCAAATTACACCTTTTGATATTTGGCTTTTTTATTTGCGTGGAGGGAATTTGAGAAAGGCACCCATAAAAGCAACATAAGCTCATTGGAAAAACTTGCCATTACTTATATTTTTGTGAAACTCCAAAAACATACTTATACAGTTTATGCAATCCGCTACAATTTCCAGCTAAATGAACATTAGTGGCAAACTTTTTTTCCTTTTCACACAAATTAAAAAAAGGAGAAGTTTATTGATTAATAAAGAATTATTTTTGCGTGGTTCCTTGCACAATATGTTATGAGCTCAAAACACTTTTACCGTTATGGTTTGTTATGGTTTAGGGCTGCAACAAACGATTATTTTGATAATCGATTAATCTAACGATTATTAGAACTATTAATCAACTAATCAAATATTATTCCACTGATTAATCAGTAGACATTTATTGATTATTCCGCTTTTGCAATTAGTTAAAATATTTAGTTATACATATTCTACCAAATAAATTAAGGTAATCACTTCAGCTTTTGAAAGTCATATTATGTAATTACAGTTATACAATTAATGTATACAAATAAATATGTTTGGCATACAAAATGAGATGACAGAGAAACTCTCTTATTTTTTATAAAATAAGAGAAACACATCACTCTGCCTAACATCTCCTTTTGTAAGTCATATGAATAAGAAACTAAATAAAG